GAGACTGCAGTTAAGTTGGCAATAAATTCACAGATTTGGCTTTTCCGGATTAATAACTCGCCTGTGGATGCTTTTAATCTAAAAAACAGACACCAGAGCAAGCCATACAGTGAGCTACAACCGTAGGTTCCTCAAAACGAGTCTCCTATTGCGCTCAGAGAATTACATTGGACCCTATGGGGAGCTCACTGTTCCACAAATGTGCAGGAGGAGCGAGCTCTGCAAGTTGCAAAATAATCAGAGAGAAATATTCAAAAGTGTCACCAAGGATTGGTGGATTATTATCACATGTATTGGATTCAAAAATAATACTTTTGAGGAATTTCCAAAAGCCTAAATGACAAATAGCACCTCTATTTTATTATTAGAATAAGTATAAAATGAGCAATGACTACACTATAGATCATTGTAGCGCCTCCAAACCTGTAGGATACACAGATAACCTCATCTGCATCCCACTACCGTATTTTCACGACCATAAGGCGCACCGTACTAAAAGGCGCAGTCTCAGTTATGTGTGCCATTACTGTATTTAACACACACATAAGGCGCACCGGATTACAGGGCGACGGCTTTATATACCGGTACGTTTCCTCTACTACGTTTAAATACCTCTACTGCGTATTTAAAAATAGAGCGGGAGCAAAACTGAGTATGATTGTGCTTTATTCATGTATTTATTACAAAGTATTAATCAAACCTGGGAGCTGGCCATGAGACAGACACATCGCAGATGACAGAGCACTGTGATTACTCCTCTGAAACAGTTTATTGACGCATAAATTAACTTAAAATGCAGAAATCTGCCGGCAGAATATGTTCGCTGTTATTATCCTGCTGCCTGCAGTTTGGATTATTTAGATGGAAAACACCTTCCAGCCGCCGCGGTGAACCGCGAGGAGGCGACCTGGCCAGAGGCTGCTGTTGAATGGATTCCTGTCGGTGCACCGCTGGTATGTGGGGGTCTGAGCGGCTCCGACAGAAATAATATTGGAAGGCAGGATGGTAATCTGGATGAACTGACTGCACTGATTACGTTTTCAGGTGGACTTTCTCACTTAAAAAAATATTAAAACTACTTTATTCCCACTGATCACAGCAAATATAGCTGCAAGGCAGAGAAAGGATAGTGAAGCTCCTGCCCAACGCGCATCCGACACACTTTTGCACCGTGCAGCCAGAGCAGCAAAGCTGCTTCAGCCGCGCGTCAGAACTAAAATGGTACAAGCAGCAAAAATGAAGCAGCAGACGGGATTTTGCTGCTTTTGCTGCGTCCGGTGTGAACGCAGCCTTACTTTGAACGGCCGGTTTGCACCGATGTCGAGCGGTTGAAGTTCCTTTGTCAGACCTCCCGGGATAACGGCGAGCACAGCGTTCATTTGTTTCACCATGTTTTTCACCTCGGCTGTGAGATGGGCATGCATGGAGTCACAGATTAACAGCGATGGCGATGAGTGGAAAAAACCACCTGGTCTCCTTACATTCACCTGCCTCAGCCACGCTTTCATCATCTCCTCAATGAAGAGGGCAAGCCGCACATTTTTAGGGGAAATAAAAGAGGTTTATATGCGGTTATAGTTGGGAAAATACGGTAAAACTCTTACTTTGGGAAGATAGGCCAAACTGTATTTTTGGAGATTTATTCGTTGTTATTATAAGCATATAGTAGCCAATAATTACACTATAGATCATTGTAGTGCCACAAAACATGTAGCACACATAGATAACCTCGTCTAGTTCATACTACAACTCTTACTTTGGGAAAAAGTACTAAACTCTATTTTTTAGATTTTTTCATTGTTATTCTAAGCAAGCCAGGTGTGCAATCTCTGCAACAGGAAGCACAGCACTGAGTGTTGTGTTCACTGCACAAAGTATACCTGTCATACATGCAGGAAGGACTCACCTTGGGTTTGTAGAAACTGCTAAATGTAACAAATTAACTAGAAGCTGAAAAAGGTGATTAATTTCTGGTTAATTGAAGAACCGTCAGCAGATGAATCGTTTAGTAGAAGAAGAGTTTATATCTGCTCTAATTTTCAGCTGATAAATCAGATTTTTTTTTTCTTGCAGGTCATCAGAGGAAACAGCATCATCATGTTGGAGGCCTTGGAGAGAGTATGAGAAGAAAGGAGGACGGTGCAGAGAGCCAGCAGCACACTTTTATTTTCTATTTTCCCTTTTAGTCCACCGACCATTCCTCCTCTTCTTCGGGTGTTTATCTGGAATTTGTTTTGTGATTAAATGGTAATAAATCGACTTTTCTTTCTATCCTTTGTGTGGGTTCTTTATTACAGGGAAAACATATTAACTTTACTATCAGTGATGGAGTTAAAGGAGTAACAGAAGCTTTCTTTGCTTTATTATGAGCGAATTATTGTCATTATTAAATCCTGCAGTCGAGCTGAGGGGACATAAATGAACTGAAAGGGAGTCGTTGTTTTAGAAAGCTGGGGTTCCTTAAACTGCAATAAAAACCAAAAGGTTAAATGAATTAAAACCTTTAATGTAGTGTTATTTGAAGCAGCATATAGCAGCAAGATCTACAAAAATAATACAGATTTAAGCCCAGTTCACAGCAACAGGTGAGCAGAGACTAAACGTATTAATATAAAATCCCTGAAAAGGAAAAAAATATCAGTTCCTTTGTGGAAAAGTTTAAATATTCGATAATAAATGACAAACCTCAATATTAGGCAACCTTGGCGTCAAAGGGCCAGAGTCAGTTACTGAGCTGGTAGACAGTCATCACTTACTGCTTCTTAATTATGACACAGATTTAATAATTTATCTCGATCAGGTCGTTTTAAGATTTAGTAATCTGAGATTCAGTCATATGGACGTTTTCGGCCGGATGTGGCAGTTTGTTCTACCTTTTAAAATGGTGTTTATTACATTAAATGCAATTTATTTTTGTTTAAATCAACCTTTGCTGAATGTTTTACCAGAAAATGGCCTGATGGTATCATTTCAACAATCAAAAGGAGTAGAAGAAGAGTCTCTAATTTTCTCATTAAAAGACAGTGGGTGTCCCTGATTCAACATAAAGAGATAAATCCTTAGACCAAAGTCACCACAGGGTAAAAAAGGGCAGCTCACACGTTCCACAGAAAGAAAAGAAAAAATGCTGCTGTGAAAATATTCAGGTTTGACGAGAGAAGAACTTTCTATAATCCTATTATAGAGTTTAAATGTAAAATTAGCAGCATTTAAGAAAATGAAGCGAGTGGAGCAGCTCTACTTCATGTTTTACTAAATGGAAAGATTTTTATTCACAACATTAACCTTAAGAAACCAGGAGAGTTAATGTAACACGCTGCACGGCCAAAAGGGTCTGGTGGTCGACTGAAGTGAACTGAATCTGCTGATGGATCTGAGGTAAGATGATCAAGGATCAGCCGCCGGTTCCTCTGATTATTTTGGCCTTTTTCATTCTAACAACCCAGAACCCACTGCTTCTATCCTAGCTGAAACTAATCTTTACATTTAAACATTAAAAATAATAAATAAGAATAAGGGACAAGAGGTAAACACAAACGGAACCACTTTGTCACAATGTAGAGACTTTTCTTAAACTAAAGGGTCTAATTGGACACCCCCCCCCCCCCCCCCCCCCTCCCAGCAGAAGCAACTTTCCATAAAAAACAAGAATTCAAATCGGCTGAAAAATTATACAATCCAATAAAATATGAGGGTAAATTTAATTTAGATTTTATTTCTCTAGATTTTTTTATTTATTTTTTTTTTAGATATATTACTTTCTATTTTTCTCCATTTTTAACTGATTTTATATTTTCTAATTCGGTTTTCAAATTTTTCTTTTTCAGTTTGAGTTTTATGAATTGCATTTTAGGATCATATTCTGTACAATTGTCTGCATGGACCAATAAAAACGCGTCTTCTCAACAAATGTGGGGGAAAAAAGCAATTTGTAAAACTCAGTCTAAAAAAAATCTGCAGAAAAAATATGAAAAAACAAAGAAAACAGCAAAGCTTCTGTCAAAACTTTATTAAGGTTGTGTTTTTTTTTCTTTCCATTTAAATGTTTTATTTGGTTGCAACAATAATAGAACGAAATTTACCACATAAATCATTTTTCGTTCTTTTAATGTCCATTTTGCAAACGCTTTTTAATTATTTATTTGTTTAAAATAATGGGAGAAAATTCCCTCCAAACCGAAATATTTTTGTTGACCAACAGAGGGCGCTAACAGAGATTTCCCTCTTTATGGCAGGTTGTTTTGACATTTATTAGAAGCGCTGTCCCCTCTGTTGTTCCATTTGTTGATCTCTAAAATAACATTCTTCCCGGTAAAAACTACTAGCCAAAAATTACATTTTACCAGCAAAAATAACATTTCCGGATGCCAAAAATATAATTGTACTAGTAAAAATAAACTTTTAAATACCTAGCAATCTTGACAAAGATTAAGGCCCTTTTGACATTTATTAGCTTGACTGAATATGTAATCCAGATGTCTCAAATGCATTTCTTTCTAGTCAAAATAAAAGTTTAAGATATCTTAAATAACATTCTTCCTATGTAAAAACGAATTCTCACTATGATGAATTCTAACTTCAGATCTCCATAATAGAGTTAGTACTAGTCAAAATTACCATTTCTGATATAAAAAATGAAGACATTACAGATGTCCAGAAATCCAAGTCTTGACATCTAAAATATATTTATGCTAGTAGAAATATAATTACAGATATCAAATATTGATATATGACTAGTTAAATTAAAATTCCAGATTTCTCAGTTTTAATAATGCCTATCTAAAACTTAGTTTGAGATATTTTCAAAAGAATAATGAGACTAGGAGCATTATAATTATGACTCGGTAGAATGCTTTAGTGCTATCTATATTAGAAATGTGACTAGACAGCCTTTTTAAGTTTTGAAGTATTTAAAACTGCATCTGAGACATATTCAGTCAAGCTAATAAATGTCAAATCGTCTTGCCATACTCATTCGGGTGGAATTTTACTCTGAAAGCGGATTGACGTCACCGGTGTCGCGTCTCCTGACGTCGTGTTACGTAGCCGTCCTGACGGTATGTGGAGAGTAGCAATGTCGGAGGAGGTTGGGAAAGCGGTCCAGTCGGTGCTGGAGCGGGTGAAGCAGGCGGCGGCCCGCCGGCCAAAGGTAACCGCGGCTCGGGTCGCTCCGTCTCCGGGTCTGTGCTGCCGGAGAAGCGGCGGAGGAGGTGGAGGTTATATAAGGCTGCCGAACGGATCAACCTTTGGATGGAAGGAGCTCCAGCCTCCGGCAGCACTTTCATAACACGATGCGTGACTTGGAGTGACAGCATGTTATCGCGGGATTCCCTCCATCATCTCAGTGATGAGCGCTAAGATCAAAGAGGGTGTTTGATGTTTCCCTTTGATCTTCTCCTCCATGATCTCCATCAGTCCTGTTAATTGACCCAGTTAGGCTCTCTGAGTTTCTAGGATAGAAAATAGGAGGGGGGAGGGGGGTCCCTGACATCTGACCTCTGACCTGAAGCCTCCTCTGTCCTGCACATACAGCCATTTGTCCCCCAGTGTCTCCAACGTGTCTCCATGGTTTGTCTCCTCAGATGCTCCCAGCTGTTCCCCCCCGCCTGGTAGCTGTCAGCAAGACCAAGCCCCCCGAGATGATAGTGGAGGCGTACAGACAGGGCCAGCGCAACTTTGGAGAGAATTATGTGAGTACAGAAGGCCTGACCTCTGCTCCCGTCTCCATGACGCTGACCTCTGTTCCCGTCTCCATGACGCTGACCTCTGTTCCCGTCTCCATGACGCTGACCTCTGTTCCTGTCTCCATTACGCTGACCTCTGCTCCCACTTCCATGACGCTGACCTCTGTTCCCGTCTCCATGACGCTGACCTCTGTTCCTGTCTCCATTACGCTGACCTCTGCTCCCACTTCCATGACGCTGACCTTTGTTCCCATCTCTATGGAGCTGACCTCTGTCCCGTTTCCATGACACTGACCTCTGCTCTCGTCTCCATGGAGCTGACCTCTGCTCTCGTCTCCATGGAGCTGACCTCTGCTCCCATCTCCATGACGCTGACCTCTGTTCCCGTCTCCATGTTGCTGACCTCTGCTCCCGTCTCCATGACGCTGACCCTTGTTCTCATCTCTATGGAGCTGACCTCTGTCCCGTCTCCATGACACTGACCTCTGCTCTCGTCTCCATGGAGCTGACCTCTGCTCTCGTCTCCATGACACTGACCTCTGCTCCCGTCTCCGTGACGCTGACCTCTGCTCCCGTCTCCGTGACACTGACCTCTGCTCCCGTCTCCGTGACGCTGACCTCTGCTCCCGTCTCCGTGACGCTGACCTTTGTTCCCATCTCTATGGAGCTGACCTCTGCTCCCGTCTCCGTGACGCTGACCTCTGCTCCCGTCTCCGTGACGCTGACCTTTGTTCCCATCTCTATGGAGCTGACCTCTGCTCTCGTCTCCATGACACTGACCTCTGCTCCCGTCTCCATGTTGCTGACCTCTGTCCCGTCTCCATGACACTGACCTCTGCTCTCGTCTCCATGGAGCTGACCTCTGCTCCCGTCTCCATGACACTGACCTCTGCTCCCGTTTCCATGACGCTGACCTCTGCTCCCGTCTCCATGACGCTGACCTCTGGTCTCGTCTCCTTCCAGGTCAATGAGCTGGTGGACAAGGCTTCGGATCCTGTGGTAGGTTCTGGTTTCCGGGTTGGGGGGGGGGGGGGATAGTCTGACCTTTGGAACTTTTCCAGCTTTCCTTCTTTCTTCTGCAGATTTTAGAGTCGTGTCCTGAGATCAAATGGCATTTCATCGGCCATCTACAGAAGAATAACGTCAACAAGCTTCTGGGTGAGTAACGCCGCTCTGCCAGCCTGCCGCCATCGGCCGCTCTGTTCCAAAGCTCTGAGTCTTTCCTCCGCCTCCAGGTGTCCCCAACCTCTTCCTGGTGGAGACGATTGACTCCGCCAAGCTGGCCGACAGGGTCAACAGCTCGTGGCAGCGTGTGCGTGGGGCTAGCAGCCAGAGGTTAAAGGTCATGGTGCAGATCAACACCAGCGGAGAGCAGAGTGAGTGCTGCGGATGGAGGGGGGGCAGAAAGCTTCCGGTTCAGTTTATGACGGATGGCCTCTGTTTCAGACAAACACGGCCTGCCGCCCGAGGACACGGTCAGCACGGTGAAGCACATCGTGTCCCAGTGCTCCGCCCTGCATTTCTCAGGACTCATGACCATCGGTCGCTACGGCTACGACCTCACGCTTGGTCCCAACCCAGACTTCCAGGTAGCAAACCTTCAGCTTCCTGAGGAGGTGTGCGGTCAGACCGCTTCGGCTCTGCTGCTGTTTTTACAGAGCAGGCAGTTATTTTAAATACAGAGATAAAATAAATCAGTTATTGGATGATGTAATAATTTAGGGCTGAAACAATCACATTAATCAATTATTTAAATAATTGTGAACTAATTTAGTAACTGGATTATAGAGACTGTAAAACCTGCCTTTAGCTGACAGTGACCCAATTAGAGCAGGAATTATACCAAGATTGTAAAATAATATATAAACATTTTGCATTTGAGAAAAAACAAACAATAAAAAACCTTTCCTTCACTCTCCTCTATCGAGAACTCCTAAAAAAGGAAAAGTTTTAGTTTCATCTGGTTTGATTTAGTAAAACAATCTTCTTTAAGGAACCTTTGGCTGGTTAGTTTAACCCCTAAAATAATTATAGTTTCAGAATTAACAATTTTGGTCAAATTTCCATCTAATAAATAAAATAATTTAAAGCTTAAAGGAAAAGTCCGGTCAGCGAGGAATAATCAATGGATCATTATTTATGCCTAAAACTAATACATTCGTGGTCAATTTAGTGCTAATCAGTAAAAAACTAAAAACAATTTTCATGTCGATCACTGAGTCTGGGAGCGGCCATTTTAGCCCAAACATAGTAACCCCTCCCTCCTGCCATCTTCCAGCAGTGACGTCACGGTGCAGTAAGCCTAGCGCCATTCTCCCCGCTTTCCAAGCTAAATCAATGGGAACTACTAGACACATCTGCAATCAACGACAATTATTGAAGATTTCCAGAGGACTTCACCATTGAAATTCACCAGAGCTATAGTGAAACTGACAATGCCCACGTGCATGGCAGCTGGATGCTGGAATACATCGGGGAAAAGTGAAAAAAAGAGTTATTCCACCTTTCTGATTCCTGATCCTCCACGGACGGGTTGGTCGTTGGATCGCCAACTTGAAGAGGGAGGATTTGCCATCGAACTTCTGGCCAGAGAAAAAACCCGTAATATGTAGCCAACATTTGGAAGAAGAATGTTTTCAAGATGACTTGGATAATAGCGCGTTGTGACAAACACCAGATACAGCACTGGGACTTGATCAACAGCCGATACCGCACCGTGACGTCACTAACCAGTAGGTGGCAGTAGTGTTCTTTGACAAACATGGATGCCTCCAGTAAAGTAACCTGACTCTGCCAGATGGATTTGCTCCGCATATCCATCTGGAAACCTTCCGTTGAAGTAATTTTGGGAAGGGTTGAAAATACTGGTTAGCTGATTGGCCTATGTTGGTGATAGACGGGCCAAATAAACCAATCAGATCAACGAAGCATATGACGTACTAACAGCCAGGCTACTCTTGCTGAAACCAGTCGGGAGAAGAGCAAAAACATCTTTTCCTCTGAGAAAAGCCTCCAGAGCAGTGTTTTGTTCTTCTTTCAGTGAAGAAATACTCTGTAATTCCGATAAAACTTGCTCGATAGCCACGCTAACGCTAGTTTCATCGGCTGAAGCCGCCATGTTCTTTAGACTGAACTGTCGCGCTTCTCGTTGCGTCACACCTCAACCCGCCTCAAGGCCAACGCTGATTGGACGTTCGTTTGGTGAACGGCTCCAAATTTTCTTTAACGGAGAGTCTCCAGACTGATCTGCGAGTGAAACCTTGAAAGCTCGCGAGATCAGGATGGTCTCACGAGGCTACCAGTAAAGCACATTCACATGAAAATTACTCTGAATTAAAAACACGGATCATTTATTGAACAGGATGGAATCATTTCATGTTTAAAGGACTTTCAGAAGTTTGAATTCTGAATATGAGCGACTTTTCCTTTAAACGCTGCATGTTTGTTTTTTGATCCCATCATCATGTTAGAAATCTGTAGCATCTGAAATAATTTAGTGCAAAAATCTTTTATTCTGAAGATGTTTCAGATTACCAGATAGTGGATTTTGAAAATCCACCATCTGGTTTTTCTTGTATCTCCTGGGTTAGGGGTTAATGTCTCTTTCTCTCCATGCTTCCTGCTGTTGACCGGTTGGTTCTGATCCGTTGCAGATGCTGCTGAGTCGGCGGCAGGAGGTCTGCGACAGCCTGAAGTTTCCTATGGAGGAGGTGGAGCTCAGCATGGGCATGTCCACAGACTTTGAGCACGCTGTAAGTAGCCCCTCCCTCTAACGCCATGATGCGCTGATGTCAAACAGCGTCTCAGCGTCTCTCTCTCTTCATGCACGCCGTCCTGTGGATCGCAGATCGAAGTGGGCGCCACCAACGTGCGCGTCGGCAGCATCATTTTCGGCAACAGGGAGTACCCCAACAGTGCGTTAAACACGCCCAACCCTAGCCCCCTGCCCAGTCCGGCTCCCAGCCCCGAGAAAACCTCCAAGACGGTGTCAGAAGAAGCTGCCAAGAAGATGCACCATCTGACCGTATCTGAACACTGAAGGAGATCATTAAAACGCCTCCAGGACATTCGGGGGGAAGCGGCGGTCATCTGGAGTTAGGACTTCTCCGTTTCCCCTTTTCTAATCAGCCGTTTAACGTCCAGTTCAGTTTTCTTTTCCATCTCTGACAGCAGAGTCCTGCAGGTGTTTTGGACCTGGAGGGTTCTGCCTGCCAGCCTGAGGAGGACCTTCACCGAGGAACCCGTCCTGCAGCCAGAGGTGAAGCTCTGCTGGATTAGTCAGTATCTTACCCGCAGTAGACGGCGCTCCGGCGCTGGAATCTGGAACGGTTCTGGTTCTCAAAGACTCAAACGTTCAAACAGGTTTACATCTGGTCTCTGCTGGTCCAGATGTGCGGCTCTAACGGCCCACAACATCATCCAGGGGGAGACGCTTTGTTCAGATTATTCCTCCCAGATTAAGGCTGGTGATCTTCCTTCTGAAGCCCACCGCTGCTTTTAGGAACCGGATCTAAGAACCGAATCAGTTTTAGGGGTGAGGCGGAAGTTTAGCTCAGTAAAAATCAGGGTTTCCAGTTCAGCAGCATTTTTATCTCATTCTGCAGCTAGGATACTGACTGCTCACAGCTGCTCTGCACATCCTCCCTTCTATCCGTCTCTTTCAGATTCCTGTTTTCTAAGAAGAGTCTTAACTGGTGGAAGTTTTCATGACTTAACAGAAATGATTGAACCGGTTTGTTTCTAATGTGACGTGGAAAAACTGAACCGACTGGCTGTAAATTCAATAAATGGTTTATCCCTTTATACCAGTGATCTTGGGTTTGATATGGTGCTCCAAATACTTTATTCTTGGTATGGAGGGAGGGGTTGTTTGGTTCTCCTGTGCGTGTTTGTGTCTGTGCAGTGCTGTGATGTCAAAAAGGAGAGAAAGTGAATCTATGCAAACGTTTGGATGGTTTCTAACGTTTCCGGCCGTGAAGCTGAACTGGTTTCCTCAGAGAAACTCACTGGTTTCCTGTTTCCATGTTTAATGTCCGTGGAAAACAACTAAAGAGATGAACGTGTGCTTAGATGTGTCCTTATTAATGTGAGGCATCTCAGCTTTGTTTGGTTTTAGTGGCGAGACCAAAGCCAAGCAATAAATTTACTGTTAAAATTATTAATTTCTGTGTTTTTATTGATTTTCTGAGACAAAGTTGGTTTTAATAAACAGTTCAGGTTCAAAAATTTCAAACAGAAAATATTTGCCTCACGTCCACAAAAAATAAATAAAAAAAACACATAAAAATAAACATTCTGTAAGTTTTAAATAAATAAGATTGAACTGTGAGATTCAGCCGGTAAAGACCAGCAGGAAACAGTCGGTAACATCGATCCTAAACAAAGACGAAGGTTCGAATCCATTCAAGGATTTCAGACACTTAAATACAGAAACTAAAGAGAAAATTTACTTATGTTCACAAGCTGCACTTTTTTCAAATTTAAAAAATAATTTTCTAGAAACAAAACTTTGATCCTGTAGTTCTGTTTGAACCATCAGAAAAAACTGAATAAAGTAGAAGAATCCGTTTTCTAGCCTTCAAATATTCAGGCTTTAAGGTTTTTATAAAACTTTAATTTTTACTAGAAACTGAATAAATGAAACACAAACTAACATATTTATAAACACGGGTGGTAAATCTGAAAAGTTCCTGAAGGAAAATGTTTTAAAAGCACTTCCTGTTAGCATGCTAACAGGCTAATGTATCATGTGGAACCAGGCGAAACATTATGACCCCTAACAGGAGGACTGGGATGAAGCGGATCACGGATCGACGTTCCTGAATCGCTTTAAAGCAGCAGATCAGAGACATTCCTGGAAAATAAAACCATCAGGAAGAAGTTGAGGACAAAGCAAATATCCAACGGTTCAGACAGGTTCAGTTACTGCAGCTCCATCTGCACATAACTCTGACTTCTATGAAGCTAAACTGGGCCCCACCCCCTCTGAGCTGGATGCTGCTCCCTGATTGGTCATCAGAACTGAGACCTGCACAGATAAGAGGCGCCGTAAAGAAGCAGAGTGACGGTGATGGGACGCGTCTGCAGACCCCACCATCAGAACCCGGCGTGTTCCTCTGGACGGTCTGCAGGACGAGGACGCCGGGTGCCAGTCTACGGTGGCCTGGTTATCTCACAGGTTCGTGTTTTAAAGCTATTCTGCTGCTTTAAACATGAACAAGATGGAGCAGAACATCCATTAACGGCAAACCGACCTGCAGCATCAATAACCTACAGAACAGGATCAGAAATGAGCTGAAAAATAAAAACGGATTCACCAAATGGAAACTTGGCTACTGAGTTTTTCCACAGACATTAAAAACCACATAATGAACAGAAAAATGTCCGCTGGGTCCCAAATAAACGGGTGAAAAGGAGAAGCTTCCTTTTCAGGCCTCTGGCTGGAAACCGGATCTCCTCCCAGATGTTTCTGCTCATCTGTTCAGTCCAAATCTCCCAGAAGATCCTAAACCAGCTTCTTGGCCTCAAAGAAGCTTTTCAGGTGCCTCATCTGCCAGATCCCCGTGACGATGAGGATGAAGGTCTGAGCGATGGACCACCAGAGGACGCGCTGGTTGGTGCTCTCGCTGGTCATGCGGAACCTCTCCTCCCGGTACTGCAGAAACAGAAAGCAGCCGGTGAGCAGCTGCAGCTGCTGCAGACGTCTGCAGCTTCACTCACTCACTCACCCTCTGGTAGTTCTGCTCCTTCTGGATCTGCTCCACCTGGTCCAGCAGCTGCCGCACTCGCAGCTCCAGCTCCGTCAGTTTGTCCTTTGCAGCGATTTCAGGGTAGTTGTTGGTGTGTTCTCCAACCTGGATGTCCAGATGGACCCTCTGCAACATTCAGGAGGAGGAGCAGATTTAGGAAACTCTTGCTTCATGTACCAATAATCCCAAATATGCGTCTTTAGTCTGAATGGGATGAAAATAACTGACTATCAATAACGCTTCACGTTCAGACTGATTGAGCTTCATTTATAAAGCAGGTCAAACCATCCAACCTCTGAACCAGGGGTAACCAATTAAAGATCAGCGGGGTCCGAATACAGAAAATCATCATCCTGTAAAGGTCTGGAAAGATTTTTAATTATAATCTGTTACTTTAAACAGAATTTAACACTTCAATAAAAAGCAGGTTTTAATGCATCTATGTTATACATTGGTTTATAGACAATTTCCTGATTCACAAATTTTATAAAACACCTGAACTGATCGTTTGTTATTTTCTTTCTTTTTTCTGTCTTAATGTTGGCAGTGGGCTTTAGGCTGCCCTGCAAGGCTTTAAACCTGGGTTTAACCAGAGACTAAGCCATTCTCAAGCACATATCAAGGAGCTCATTCTGAGCCTGGATCCAGATTTATTGTTGATTCTGTTCATGGTGGAGAATCCTGCTTCACAGCAGCAGGTTGAGCCAAACATCCTCTAAATGTGCAGGGTCATCTTTGAGCACGCCATTTCACTTTTCTTTCGCCAGTTCACTGCAGTTCTTCCAGCAGTCCACACTTTCTCTGCTCTCTTTTTCTCATGGTCTTCTCCTTCTTTCCCATCGCCCGGCTTGCCACAGGTTTGCCTGCTGTGTCTAAAAGTAGCAGCAGCAGCAACCCAGACTGACAGCTCATTGGCTCATTTGGATCACGTGCAGCCTGGAGCCGGACGCTCCCCAGGGCTTTACCGTATTAACAGGAGAAGAGGCTCAAGTGAAGTTAGTTCAGTAATTTATAAATGTTTTAAATCAGGTTGGGTCTGGATTAGCCAGCAGGTGGGTCCGGATCCAGACCCATGGTCCAATGATCCGTGACCTCTGGCCTAGAAGTTCAAAGCTGGAAAAGACCAAAGTCTGGCAGCTAAAGGTTATTCTGAAAAGTACTGAAAATAAGCATCAAACATAAAAATATCAGCATTGTGATCCAGCCTCTCTCCTTTCACATTCAACGCATGAAGGTTTAGATTAGTAATAATAGCATTTTATTCCTTAAGATGAAATATAGTTAAAGATCAAAGGTCAAGGCTACAACTTTTTAAATACATCTACAGGACATCTATAGTGGAGCAGAATGGTTTTACTCTGAAAAAAAATGTTTAGAATATAAATAATTGCTTTAAACATCCTAAATATGTAAATATTCCCTTTGGTTACCATGCCAACATCATCATGAAAGGATTCTGCACCAATAGGAATAGTAAGTTAAATATCATCTGTTTGAAAAAACTTAGTTTCATTTCTAAGATTTAAGCCAAAATCAGAAAGAAGCAAACCAAGGCGAATGTCGCCCTGAAGGAGGCTCAAATTTAAATTCCCTGATGCTAACCTTCGGTTCTGTTCTCAGTCAGATTATTTTACGTTCAAACTAAAGATTAAACCAAATTAAAGACCTCAGAACCCCATTTTCACTCCCCTCTGCAACCGATGTGTGCCAAGCTCGGTTCCTTACGACACATCATGCTAGGTTCCTCGCCTCCTAGTGGCGATCTATGGTAATACTGCTTTCTAGAGGGAAAGAAGCATACCAAGATGGCGGCGCCTGTAACATTCAGGGAGTTTGCGGAGAATCAGGCGAAGAAGGCAGCCTTTGGTGAATTTACTTGACAGAGTCGGCTTTTGGGAAGTGGATACGACAAACGATGGTCTAATCAGGGCTTCCAGACGCAGGAAACAACGACAGACGTTGAGGTTCATCCCACTGCTAAGCAGAATCATCACTGGGCCGAGCCCTACTGATGAACTAGTACCATGTTAGCAGGATTCAGTTCTGCGTACCATTTACACTCAACAGTTATGGAAGTAAATTTGTGTCGCTGGGATTTGAATTAAAAATGCCACTGAAATTTTTATGTTGTATGTTTGTTCTTACTGTTTCAGTGATAAAATATATTCAGAACACATTTTTGACTTAAAAAAAATTAATTGTCATTATTTCTACACAGTTGAAATTTCATTTGTTATTTTCTCTTGAAGCTAAAAATTCACATTTCAAAGTGATTCAATTTTCAATACTAATTTTTCAGTTAAATTTTTGAGTGTTAAAAAAAATCTGCATATACAAAAATTCAACCTTTCAAAATTCAAACTTAATATTTTCAGCCTCCTGAGATTCAACTGGCTCTATTTCACCGTCTTAAATTTTGCGTCTAAATTTAGTGTAAAAAGGGAAGGGTTACTTCAGGTCACAGACATTAGCAATGGATTGTGGCGTCCAACACCCAGCCAATCCCGTTAGGTTTTCTTAGTCACGTGACGTGACGCTTGCGGCGCTCATACGGAAGGAAAACCAGCATGACGGAGCCGGTCATGCAAGCTAACGCTAACTCAGCTACGGAAAAAGGAAAGTAATAAACTCACCGTTGAGTTAGCGTGAAGTGAAATAGAGCCAGTTGAATCTCAGGAGGCTGAAAATATTAAAGCTACAGTGTGTAATTTTTGGCGACATTTAGCGGTCAGACTGCAGACCGCAGCAACATGAACATCTCCCCCCCACCGCTTCTCCCCCCAACAGTAAGGCGAGCGTTACGGGACAAAATGTCTTCCACGACGTCCGCATCACCTACCTTCTCAAGTGATGAGGTTTGTTTACATAGATAATTTTACAGATAGTATTTCATTAGTCTGTGTAGGGTATAGATTTCATGTAGACTTAAGATAATAAATATACCCGTTATTTTTTCTACGTCGTTGTGACGTTTTGGTGAGCTGCTTTGCATGGTGATATAAACAGACGAAGTAATTGTAGTCATTAGTTTAACAGTGAGATTGTGTTCGCTGGAAGAATATATATTCCCCGTTTACAGAGTCCAAGTCTTGTTTGTGGCACGGGGGTTACAAGGCGAGGAAGAGGGAGAGGAAGAGGGCGTGCAGCTAGGGCCAGGCGAGAGAGGGGAGCCAGCGGGGTGAGAGCAGAGGAGGAAAGGCTTGAAGATCTCCAAAGGAGCCGGAGAGAAGTAACCGAGGTATATATCCAGAAAATTATTTTACAGAAAATTACTGAATCATTACCTGTGAAACGTCAGGGACGTTGCTGAATAAGTATACTGGAGAGTAACAGCATCATCACGCAGCATGTTATTGTTTTAGACAGGTCTGAGCATCCTGTACTCCAAAAACTGCAGTGATATTAGACAATTGTGTGTGTAGGATTAATTACCTGTCCAAGAGAAAACTGGCAACTTGAGCGTCACTTTGAAAACCTTTTTCCTCCATCAGTGACTTCCATCGTGTAAATGCCGTGCCAATGTTGATCCGTGTTTTTTGTCGTTTCTTGTCACTCTTGCGTTTATTCTCGTCGTGTTTCCGCTTCTTAGATGACGGGGGTTCGGTGTCCGCCGCTTTTCGATGTGATACAGAGTAGGCATGATCCTCCATTCGTCTGATGTTTGGCCACACAGTGCCAAACAGTTTGCAAAGTCACTCACGCCTGCCGCCTTGTTCACCTTTCTTGTTACTGAGGCGCAGTATACCTGCTTCTTCTTCTTCTTTGGTTTCAGGCAGACTAAACGCTTCTCAGGCATAATACTGCCATCTATTGTTCAGTACCGTCTCAGTTAATCTCTCTCAACTTGCCGTAGTTATTTTTGAGCGTAATGGGAGATCTCGCAATCGCTAGTTTGTTGCCTCTGCGCTGCCGTAGCGCAAAGATGTCAGCCTCCATGGCTGCGAGACCCGCTCCTATGTAATTATAAATAACGAATTCTAAGGCAACGCAAATATTACGGTTAAAAGGCTGAGCTCATAGGTGATGATAAATAACATAGTTATGTATAATATATTAAACTTCTGACTTTATATGCCTGTAATTATTACACACTGTAGCTTTAAGTTTGAATTTTGAAAGGTTGAATTTTTGTATATGGCGATTTTTTAAAACTCAAAAATTAAACTGAAACATAAGTATTGAAAATGTAATCACTGTAAATTAGTAATGTGAATTTTTAGCTTGAAGAGAAAATAAATTACATTTCAACTGTGTAGAAATAATGACAATTAATTTTTTTTTAGGTCAAAAATGTGTTCCAAATATATTTTAGCACTGTAAGTACAAATATACAACATTTAAATTTCAGTGGCATTTTTAATTCAAATCCAAGCGAAACAGATTTACTTCCATAACAGTTACCGTGCTCGGCCTGATCTCTGCATGGTTTCTAAAGGGTAGTGGAAATGGGGCTGATAGGCCTTATTGCAGCTCAGCGGTTAAAATGATCTGAGTCGAGCTTCCTACCAGCTTCCCGCCAGCAAACAGAGCCATCTTGGTGGAATTGGAGTGCAAACAGATCTGATGCTCTCCAGGGGTGTGGGAGGTGAAGGTGAAGCGTCCCTCTGAGCCGTACTGACGAGACAGGATGATCTGGAACAAACCAGCAGACAGACCCTCAGCGTTAAAGTGACGGCTTTCATCAGAGCATCTCCTCTCAGTCTACCTTTGTGTCCGGATCCTTGATCTCCACGTGCATCCCGAGGCCCGGGGTGGAGGGAAGGAAGGAGCTGGTCTGCTTGTCCCACAGCTGAGTCCGGTACTTTCCTGCCAAACAGGTCAAAATCCTTCAGCGTTTCAAAGCACGGCAGCTTGAAATGATCGTTTTAACAATCCTAGTCTGTCCATTTTACAGTAGAGCGATAACGGCGCAGTGTGCGAAAGGTTTCAATAAGACGTCTGGCTTCACATGCCGACCCACTGGACCTACTGGTTCTAAACTGGAAACAGGCTTCAGTGCTAAATGGCTTTACTCATTTATAAACGTCTAACTTTGACCAAACATCACTTTGTTTTCCTGAGTCAGACCAAGATTTAAACAAAAAAACAGCCCTAAAAACAGTTTAAACTCAAATTATCTATGTCCCTGGCAGATCAGGGTATAAAATAATGTTCAAATAATCTGTTTATTGTACATAAAAAAGGCTTTTAATAATACTTTGGACTTTATTGATCTCACAGTGGAGAAATTCCCTCTCTGCATTTAATCCATCCCCTTGGGGAGCAGGGGGCTGCCATTGCACGGCGCCTGGGGAGCAGTGTGGGGTTAAGGGTCTTACTCAGGGACCCAGAGTGGCAGTCTGTGGGGATCGAACTTGCAACCTTCTCACATCACAGAGAGCTGCTCTAACCACTAGGCCAGCACCCCCCTTACCTCAATCCTTCTAAACATACTAAGGTGGGACGGTTGATTGATTTGATCAACCTTTGTTTTTTTTTTTATGAAGATTTCATTTTTGGGAAAGAAAATATTTTTTCACTAATTCACCCTACGGGCTTCTGTAGCTCAGAGCAACCATAGTTCTTCACTCTATGGAGCTTGGATGTCTTCTCATAACTGGGAAAGCAGCTCGCTGTGTGATTAAAACTCGCTGCAAAAATATAATTACTTTTAATTTCATTGTTTGTTGTGAAACATGATTAAGTCATATTATCCAGCCTTATGGTAACCTCATTAGCATCAGAGCAGTTTGATCAGAACTGTGGAGCGCCTAAACATGCCATGGGATCGTCACTGGGCTTTTAAATCCAATTAAATTAACTGTTTGAACTCTGATAATTCATTTGATAATTCATTTGATAATTTAGCTTCACAGCTGCTAGCTCCACAGCTGTTAACTTTATAGCTGTTAGCTTCACAACTTATAGCTTCACAGCTGTTAGCTCCAAAGCTGCTAGCTCCACAGCTGTTAACTTTATAGCTGTTAGCTTCACAACTTATAGCTTCACAGCTGTTAGGTCCACAACTGTTAGCTTCACAGCTGTTTTTTTTATAGCTGTTAGCTTCACAGCTTATAGCTTCACAGTTGTTAGGTCCACAACTGTTAGCTTCACAGCTGTTATTTTTATAGCTGTTAGCTTCACAGCTGTTTTTTTTTATAGCTGTTAGCTTCACAGCTTATAGCTTCAATTCAATTCAATTCAATTCAATTCAATTCAATTCAATTTCAATTCAATTCAATTCAATTCAGTTTATTTATATAGCGCCAAATTCACAACACGTCATCTCAAGGCACTTTACAGTTCAACCAGATCAAATTGATACAAAGTTTTCTATCTAAGGAAAACCAGTTGATTGCATTGACTCATTGACTCAAATACAATCCCCTTCACAGTTGTTAGGTCCACAACTGTTAGCTTCACAGCTGTTATTTTTATAGCTGTTAGCTTCACAGCTTATAGCCTCACAGCTGTAAGCTCCACAGCTGTTAGCTTTATAGCTGTTAGCTCCACAGCTGTAAGCTTCTTCTTCTTCTTATGGGATTTTATGGCGGTTGGCAGACTTGTGAATTGTGCATTACCGCCACCAACTGATATGGAGTAAAGCAAGATAACAGGAAACGATTCACCCCCCCCCCCAAAAAAAAAAAAAAAAAAAAAAAAAAAAAAAAAAAAAAAAAAAAAAAAAAAAAAAAAAAACCTGTGTAACTTAAACCAACATAATACTAAATCACATTTGCCCATATAATTTTAATTTACTCTAGGTCATCTTAACTCTGCCAGTTTCTGATGGTCCCATCGGTCCTCCCATCATACTTCCAACCATCTCCCAGTTCAAATCTTTAATGTCCAGATATTTTTCTGCAGCCTTCACTATTATTTTGATTTTTTCCGTTTTTTTTGTTGTCTGTGCAGTACAATTAATTACTTCTACCATGAAAAGAACAAAATTTGTCTTTTTAACAATAAGTGAGTCTTCATTAATTTTTGGAGATTTCTCTAGAGGTTTGGAATTTGCTGTGTGTTGAACTGTAGGTTTGGGTTTTTCTGACTGAGATGGGATCCTTTTTGCAGCTTCAGCGTAGGTTATTCCGAGCTCAAATTTCATTTTTTTAATTTCCTCAGACCTTTTGCTTGCTTCACAGCCGCGATAGGCAGCAGTATGTTCTCCACCACAATTACAGCATTTTATTTTAGCTTCTTTTCCACATTTTCCGTACTCATGTTCTCCTGCACACCTTCCACACCTCTGTTTCCCTTTACAAACTGCTGCAACGTGACCGAATTTTTGGCATTTGAAACATCTCAATGGTGGAGGATTGTAGATTTTGACATTATAGCTTATGTAACCGATGAATACTTTGCTTGGTAATTGCTCTTCTTCGAATTTAATTAGCACAGATAAACTGTCAGATCTTTCTCCGTTTCTTGTTGTTTTTAACCGTTTTACTTCTTTTACTTTTGCACCGCTTATGTTTTCCAGAATCTCTTTTTCAGAAATTTTTAGAGGAACTCCTCCAATGACTCCCCTGCTGATCTTTTTGTTCTCCATTAGGCTGCACTGAACTCTTATCCCGTCAATTTTGTTGATACGTATTGCTTTGCCTTGCTGGGCGCTGTCTCTGCAGTTAATTAGCAGGTCTCCACTGTACAGAATTCTGGCACCTTTGACTTCTCCGACAAGTTTATTGATGGTTTTTGTTAAGTGAACCGGATTCCAATTTGTAAAAGAGTCTGCCTGATTAACGACTTTGAATATGACTTTGAATTCATTTTGTTGTGCTGTGGAATGTATGGAATGATCATCACTGGATTGTTCTGAACTAGATTCCCCTTGAACTGATCTCTGTTTTTTCCGCTTTTTCTCATTTTTTGATGTTGCTATTTTCCAACCTTCATTGTCACTATTTCCCTCTTCCATCCCACAAGAATCGCTTCCTGTTTCCTCACTACTCACGGCCCAAGACATTTCTCCATAAGCAGCTTCAAAACACGCGCCATGCACCAAACGACCATCCACCGAGCCTCAAACACTTCTTGTCGACATTCCACAGCTGTAAGCTCCACAGCCGTAAACTTTATAGCTGTTAGCTCCACAGCTATTAGCTTAATAGTTGTTAGCTCCACAGCTATTAGCTTTATTGGTGTTAGCTCCACAGCTGTTAGCTTTATAGCTGGTAGTTCCACAGCTGTTAGCTTTATAGCTGTCAGCTGCACAGCTGTTAGCTTTATAGCTGTTAGCTCCACAGCTGTTAGCCGCACAGCTCTTAGCTCCACAGCTAGCAGCTCCTTTAGTAAAAGTGAAAACATGTTAAAGTGTGAATATTAAATCTAACAAGGTGCAAATTTCATATTGTTTCATAGAATCCCAGCAATCCAGCCAGTGAGGTCATCATTCTGCTTCAGCTGTTAGCATAGCTAGCTGGTTTCATGCTAACCAGCCGCTAGCTTACCGATGACCATGGTCTCATCGGGAATCTCTTCTACGAAGCATTTTTTCTCTGTCTCTCCGATGTGGAAGTAGAGAGCATAGCTGGTGTGGATGCAGGCTAGCAGGACAGAGAGAGCAGCGGCGGGGATGGAGAGCATCATGTCGCCTCCTTTTCTGCAGCGAGCATCAGCAGCCTCTCTGCGGAACAAGGAAGGGGATTTCCTGCTGCCTGGGAGCTCTCTGCCCTGGGTTTAGACTAACAGGCACAGTCGCTTTCAAAAGCAGCTTTGTTTTTGTTTTTTCCTTGGAAGTTTAAAGCTCCCTATACACGCTCCACGTTTAAAAAAATCCCCAATTAAATATTATATAAGTTAGATCATGTGCTTACCAGAAAAGGCCTCATATTGGGGAACTATTTAACAAATAACAACAAATGAATCTTAAAAAAAATATAGCTCTAATGACAAGCAAAGGTTATCATGATTATTGTTACAATCTAAATATGGATATTTTTTTTTAATCTTAAATAGAAGTGGTAGTCTGGTAACAAACTCCTGAAGTTTTACAGTTTCTTCTATCATGCAGCATCAAACTTTGACAACATTTGACCAAAGATATGAATTATATTTATACTGTATCTTAGTTGTGTGTCTTATTTCCAAGTTTAAAACAGTTTAAATGTCAGAGATAGATGTAGAAATTTTATTCATATATGCTGATCTGTGTATTTCTGTTACTTTATGCAATAATCTAAGTTATTGCTCCCTTTCCTTCTGCCGGTGGAGGCTTTAGGTGCAGGAGACGTTTCTCTGTCTTATTTTCTTATTATCAAATGTTTTCTTATAATTTGAATAAATTCTGTTAAAACTTCGAATGCTTTTTCCTTTTTGCATTACATGAGATTATTCCCTGATAAATAAAGGACCGGAGATCAAACATAAGTTATATTTCTCTTGTTGTGATCCACCCATCCAATTAAACCAAATGGTTAAATGTCATTATTTAATTCATAATTCCAGCTGTTAGATTAGATTATCTCCTTAAAGTGAATCTTTCCCAGTAACAATCTAAACAGCATCATTTATACAAGACATAAGGAAAAAAATAAAGACATGCTAATGACCGTTGGAGTTCAGCACCAGAAAAGAAAAGCCTCATGTAAGGGAGGATGTAAAGATATTTCTGCCTGACAGTCAAAGCTCAGGATAAAATCCTCGTGCGTCGCTGGGCTAACGGCTCTCCGGATCGTCAGATTTATTCAGATTATCTTCAATCCACAACGAGATTAGTGACAAAACAGGACAAATGCCTCCTGGGAAACATTTAGTTGGTTGATTTAGACTGGTGTTTATTATAGTTAGAAAAGCTGCTTCATTTGTCCAGCTGCCAGTTTGCCCCATTAGCTTCTCAGGCTAATTAGCCGTTAGCTTCCTGCTGCTAGCAGCTGTCTAGATCAACTGTTTGACTGTTTCTGACAGCCTGACTGACTGCTTTTATTCTGGACATCGAAACTAAAAACAACCAAAGGTTTGATTTTATTTATTCTGACTGTAAATGTGACTTATTGTTAGTAAAAGTCTCTTTCTTTAGACGTTAACATTTAACGTTAGCTTTCATGCTAACGTGCTGTAGATGTCACCAGATTATTCCAACAAATGCCTTTTAACTCCCATCGTTTTTGGGAGTTTATTTGTTTTATGCTTTTTTTTTTGTGTTTTATTATATTATTTTCCCGCGTTAGAGTTAATTTCCGGGTGATTTCGGCTCCTTAAGCGATGAAGTTGTTGTTTTTTCGGCTCCTGTTCACATGTAAACAGGTTAACCTACTTTAAAGGAGGTCTGCTTTTTAACATAGATGATCCAATCTGAGATTAAGCCACTGATCTGATGGCTTCTCTATCTATGGGCCATTTAGTCCGGGGTCTAAATGAAAGTGAAAACTAAAGCTGGCCCCCATCAGCGGCGGAAACAGGTTTTATTTGCTGTTAGAATATATTTAGGAAAAAAACTTTTTATTTATTTAAACACCTGGTGTTGTTCTCTATAAAAGTGTCTTTTAAAATTTCCTTATCCAGTTGGACATATTTTAAATAAGATTGTCATATATTTGATTTCTATAAAGAATGTTTTTAATCTTTCTCTTTTTCTAAATTATTTAGTTAATCTGCTTTCTCCAGTTGCTGGGACACCTAGAGATTAATTTTATATTCCTATTTGATTAATCATTAAAGATTTTAAAACCTAAGAGAAATAAAAAAAAATTCATTCATAAAATGAAGTGAAGAAATCTTCCTACACTGGGAGCTTTTCCAAGTTTTTAGTTCATCACAGTGAAAATGAAGAGAATAGTTTGAAATTTGTCAGACATTTTTTCCACTGTACACATCCTGTCCGTCATCTGCGTTCCTCCTGCCTGTGTAGATGGTGCAGCCGCAGCCTGATGGCCCCATGCAGTGGGACATGTCTGGGGAGGACAGCGGAGGGACCCTAAGGGTCCCACCGGAGCTCGCTGGAAACGAAGTGGTGACCAGACTGCTGGGCGACAACCAGCAGCTGCGAGGTACTGACTTCACATAAAATCATAAACGCCATTTTCTCCCTTATTTAGGGGTGCAGGTTCTTGCTGAATCCAGATGTTTCCTCGTGATGTGGGAGCTGCTTCTCGCTGTTTTCTTGTCCCAGTCCATCTCTGAATTTCATTCTGCAGCTCATTATTATACAGTTTGTACAGATGTTTCTCTAAAGTAGATTTTGATGTAATTATAAAGGCACACTGATAATTAAATGCATGTTTGTTGAATCTGTCTAGAGGTTTTTAACTATGAAGTTAATTGATTTTAGAAAAATAAACCAGTCTCTGGTTTTATTTGAACCAAAATGAAAGAATAAATAGGAATGGGTTTAAGTTTTAAAGCTTGGCTGCTGTGAAATGATGCGCAGTGGTTTGGATTCATTCTTATTTGAGATGTAGTGGGTGAGTCAGTTGAGGTTTTACAGCAGTTGAAGTCCTGTTTGGTTAAAGTGTTGGACTCAGAGATTCTTCCATGTGGGACACCACAGGGCTCAGTCTTCACACCTGCTCTCTTTGTTTTGAATGTTTGGCCCAATAATCATGCAGCCGTCTGACGTTTCCCATCGTTTCTATGCTGATGATGTTCAGCTCTACAAGCCGCCTGTTTGTTTCAGGTTCTCCTCTTTGTGAAAGCTGCTGCTGTTGGATGAAAGGCTGATGGGACTGAAACCCTTATTAAAACACTGAATAATAATTAAAACACTTTTGGTCTCTTCTGTCAAACCAAACATGAGAAACCTTTAGAAGGATTTATCAGTAGATCAATGTCTTAAATATAATGTTAAGCTTAAACCGGTGTTGGATTCCAACAGCGTCTTCATGGCTTTGATCCAGACCGTCTCCAGTCAATCAATCAATCAGAGTTTATTTTAACACCTGGCAGACCAACATGTTTCACACAAAGATACAAGCTTGGTAAAAACCAAAATCCTAATCATGAATCAGTGTGTTCTAAGTATTAGAAACCTGTTTAAAAAAATAAGTCTTTAATCTGGGCTTAAAAAGGGGCAGATCTGTGAGAACCTGCAGACCGAGGGACAGGCTGGTCCAGGGTTTAAGGCCTGTCAAGGGTTTAAATCAGGTCCACGGTTTGAGTCCGGTTCACGGATTAAGGCTTGTACAGGGTTTAAGTCCGGTCCAGGGTTTGAGGCCTGTCCACAGATTAAGGCTTGTCCAGGGTTTAAATCCAGTCCAGGGTTTAAGGCCTGTCCGGGGTTTAAGGCCTGTCCGGGGTTTAAGGCCTGTCCGGGGTTTAAGGCCTGTCCGGGGTTTAAGGCCGGTCTGGGGTTTAAGGCCGGTCCAGGGTTTAACGCCTGTCCGGGGTTTAAGGCCGAGCTGGGGTTTAAGGCCGGTCCAGGGTTTAACGCCTGTCCGGGGTTTAAGGCCGGTCTGGGGTTTAAGGCTTGTCTGGGGTTTAACGCCTGTCCAGGGTTTAAGTCCGGTCCAGGGTTTAAGGCTTGTCTGGGGTTTAAGTCCGGTCCAGGGTTTAACGCCTGTCCGGGGTTTAAGGCCGGTCTGGGGTTTAAGGCTTGTCTGGGGTTTAAGTCCGGTCCAGGGTTTAACGCCTGTCCAGGGTTTAAGGCCGGTCCAGGGTTTAAGGCCGGTCCAGGGTTTAACGCCTGTCCAGGGTTTAAGGCCGGTCCAGGGTTTAACGCCTGTCCAGGGTTTAAGGCTGGTCCAGGGTTTAAGGCCTGTCCGGGGTTTAAGGCCTGTCCAGGGTTTAAGGCCTGTCCGGGGTTTAAGGCCTGTCCGGGGTTTAAGGCCGGTCCGGGGTTTAAGGCCGGTCCGGGGTTTAAGGCCGGTCCGGGGTTTAAGGCCTGTCCGGGGTTTAAGGCCGGTCTGGGGTTTAAGGCCGGTCTGGGGTTTAAGGCCGGTCCGGGGTTTAAGGCCGGTCCGGGGTTTAAGGCCGGTCTGGGGTTTAAGGCCGGTCCAGGATTTAAGGCTTGTCCAGGATTTAAGGCTTGTCCAGGATTTAATCCGGTCCAGGATTTAAGGCTTGTCCGGGATTTAAGGACGGTCCAGGGTGTATGGTCTGTCCAGGCTTTCGGTGCTGTAGCCACAAAGGAAAGGAGCTCAGGAAGCTTTTAACGGCTCTCATCAGAGCCAGAGCTCCTCCAGCTTTACTATTCTGAGCTTTTGGAAGCCCGGTTTAAAGTTAAAGCTCAGCATATTTCTCTGACCGGCTGGAACCTCAAACCGCTGAGATCCTCCTGTTAGTGTTGGTCATGGTGTTCAGAATGTGTTTCCAGCTCTGGCCTTTTTTAAAAACATCCAACAGAAGGACAACTTCCTTCAGGAGTTTGTCATAAAGAATATTTAGGAGTATTTATTTATTTATTTATTTAAGGTATATCTAAAATGAAAAATGTCAAAGCAGGCTTCTTTGTATTCCAGTGGAGCAGGATGTTTATGGACTCTCTCATATCTCTGTTCCTCAGATGCTCTACGGAGGAGCAACCAAGCCCTGCGTCAGCGCTGCGAGGAGATGGAAGGATGGCAGCGACGAGCGCGCCAGGAGCGGGAATTTCTCAGCTGCCGATTTCAGGAGGCCAGGGCGCTGGTGGAGAGGCTGGCTCAGGAGAACCATTCTTTGCAGAGCATGGTGAGCGGGCCAGGCTCGTCCTCCAACCACAGCTACGCCTTGAGCCAGACG